ACCTTTGTTCTACCTTTGTATTTGTCTCTTACATCTTTGAGACACTCTTCTGTTCCCCCCCCCCTGTCGACTTTTCAGTTTGATGTTTCTTCCCTTCTGTGAAGCCTGAAGTCAACTAAATGTAATGATAACCATCAAGACGCCTGCCATTTGATATAAATATTTTGGCAGTGTTTTCAATTCAGCAGTTAGAATGCTTGTCTTGCAATATTTAATTTGCTAAAGGCAACACCGCAAGCAAAAGGTGTCACTTTATACTAAGCTAAATGAGGAGAAAATGGATGATAGTCTAGAAAATGAGTCCAAATTTACTTGATTTGCGTTCTAGCATTGCAAATAGCTCGCCACTGGTATTCTGAATGTTTAAAAGAACCATCAGTAAACTGGATTCCAGATTTAATTCATACTCACAATTTACTTAACTTTTGGTCAAGTTAATTAATTTAGACGGTTGCTAATATCTTTATTGCAATTCACCTTCTAATGGTTGAAAGAATATACCCAATTTTAGCATAGTAGAATTCACTAAACTTATCTGTTAGTGAAAACAACGAAAGCCCAATTGCAACCCTGGTTATTTATCTTACTAACTGAAACAGTATAGTTGCCCTGTTAAAAGAAGTCAATAAAGGTCAGAATTCCAAAATATTATTATTTCAAATGGCGGGGTGCGCGATAGACTTACCTTCACGTGGCGCACCCTGGACAACGTATTTCAAATGGCAGGCTTTGTGATATTTATCATTAGCCCTTAAATTTTGACTTCAGCTTCCCCCAAGGGTGGGGGGTACATTTATAGCAGTTCATTAACTGTCTTCTTGCTTCCCAGTATCTCTGGCTTTCTGTCATTTTCTTTAGGGCTGGACATCGAATTAGGTGGGTCTTCTCCATTTCCTCCTGTAAGTTACATAGAGGGCATGTGGGTTGAGTGTATACTCCCAATCTGTGAAGATGTTTTGCCAAGCAATCGTGTCCGGTACATAGCCTAAATTCAGCAACGGCTTCGATTCTTGGCCAGTAGGGTATGTCGGAGAGTCCCACTGTCCACCGTTTCTCCTTTGTTCGAGCTTTAAGTTCGTTGCACCTTGAGGTCTTGAATTCTCTTCTGATTAATGCCTTCATTGTGTGGAAAGACTTCGGTCGGTCCATGCATTGCAAAATCGTTATCCCCTTCTTAGCAAGTGTGTCAGCAAGCTCATTGCCTTTAATGCCACAGTTACCAGGAATCCATTGTAGGACCACTGTTTTGTTTTTCTCTCTCAGCAGCTGATAGAGTTTTCTACATTCCTTTATCTCAGCTGTTTTGAGTGGCTCTCTGTTTCCAATTGAGTTTATTGCTGACTGTGAGTCCGAAAGTATCACCACTTTGGTAAATTTTGTATCTACCCATAATTGGCATAGTGCTATCCTAATGGCCTCTATTTCTCCTTCAATAGCGGATCTATTGTGTCCCGCTGCTGTGTAGAAAGAGAAGAGTTCGGAATGGACACCTGCACCAATGTTTGCTTGGTTTTCTCTGTATGACTCATCAGTGAAGACTAGGAGCCATTGATCTGCAGGATAGTTGACATTGATTGTCTCAAGGGCCAGTGAGCGCATTTGCTCTGGAGGGGTATTTGATTTCCTGAAGAAGTCAAGCAGTTGGGTGCAACACACTACATCAGTGTCTGCTAATGGGTTCATGGAGAGAGAGCGGCTTTTTGGTTTGTCATCGATTTGTAATTCTTTCTTCAGTTCTATGGCTTTCTGTATTAGACCAGATTGCGTCTTCAGATGTCTTGGTCTATTCTCATAGGTGCTGAATAACTTATTCATGGGAATGCGCAGTAGCTTCTCATACATGACCAAGGCCTTCTCTTTGATAAGGGAACATATTGCGGTGCTTCCTGTAACTAGGAGCATTGCATCAATGGGTATTGATGTTATCCCTCCAGTAATAAGTCGTAATGCTTGGTTGTGTGCCTTCTCGAGTGGTTTGAGAGTCACCTCTGTGGCTGTAATGAGTGATTCACAGCAATACAACATTATTGGCTGAATAAACATCTTGTAAGTGGTGTTTAGAGTTGAGCGCGCACAGCCCCATACGCTACCAGCAAGACGCTTCAGTACATTCAGTCTATTGGAGACTCGTTCTGCTATTTTAGCAATGTGACTTTTCCACGTTAGCTTTGTGTCAAACGTCATTCCGAGATATGTGAACTCATTGTTTTATTCTATGGTAGTATCCTTGNAACACTCGATAGTGTTTAGTCTTGCCTCGGGGAATATTTTTCTTTGCACATCTGATCATAATATTCGTGATATCAGTGCAAAGTTTGTCAAGATGTTGGTTGAAGTTGAGGGGACTTGTATGATGTTCATTGTCTAAAAGTTTCGTGAATCTAGACCAGTCAGCCTTCTTGAAGTTCCATGATAGCTTAGTTGGCACTTTCCTTGTCATGCTTTTGCTGCCGATGGTAATACTAGCAATGACTGGTTTGTGACCAGAACCAGGATCGTCGATTATTTTGCGGCGTGTATGCTCACTGATGTCGCTTGAAGCCAAGAGTAAATCAGGAGTTGTTCTGGTTCCATTGTAGTGCAGATATGTAGCCGGATCCTCATTGCTGTAAATAAGTTCCAGAGGGTTGCTGTTTAGCATGTCTTCGATTTCCTTTCCAGCTATGTTTGTATCCTTGTAGCCCCATCTGGTGGATTGGGGGTTGAAGTCTCCCAATACTACAGTTTTTTGTGAGATGTTCAGAATGTCAAAGTTGGGACAATTCTGGGGTGGATTATAGACTGCATTTACCTTGAAGTGGTTTTGACATTTCCAAACATTTAATCTGATTATTTCACATATGTCATGTGTCGAGTCCATACTCCTGATTAGATCGTAGTGTGAGGTGAGGCCTTCTTTTACTCCAGTTAGAATTTCACTTGCAACTTGCCGGTATTTAGGTAGAAGGTACAGGGTGCAACCTGGGTATTAGTAGTACTTCAGTTTGTCATCCGAAATGTTTGCTTCCATAATTGTGAAAATGTCTACATCATAGGTTTGTAGGATTTTCTGTACTTGGATCTGTTTGACCTGTGACATCCCTCCAACATTCCACTGGAGGATATGAAGACGTTGTGATTCGCCCTAACGAGGGCGATTTCTCTTATAACCTTTCTTCAAGCTAATCATAATAAATCGAAGTCAAATTAAATGCCGAGTGATAGAATTTTTGCCGTACGAAGATACGTTGTCCAGGGTGCAATTGACTTTTTGCCGTAAGAAAATACGTTGTCCAGGGTGCACCTCGAGTGATATACTTTTTTGCCGTAAGAAAATACGTTGTCCAGGGTGCACCCACCATTTTGCCGTACAAAGATACGTTGTCCAGGGTGCACCACGTAGCGCACCCCGAATTTCAAAATAAGCCCCACATAAGGTAAAATAGGGTTACCTATTCACTAGCAAGTTGGTTCTTTATCTTACCGTTTGTGAGGAATTTGTGGAACTGTCAGATTTACTTGCTCTTAAACCCACTGGATTTTTCTACCACATGCAGGCTTTAAGTGATTGCATTTTCAAAATATTTATGCATTTACATTGACTCTAAATTGTCATAACTAAATGACATTGGAACGATGTTGTGGGTAGAGTAAATTTTGAAAGTTTTAATAAATAAGTAGAGGAGGAATAAGAATGTATCAAGGGCAATAAAATAGGGAGGCGTCATACGTAGCTATTGCTGTTGATCTGGATGGTCTATGTAATGACAAGCACTTCCATAACAGATGGTAAGATCGTTTGCCAGTTCCTCACTAATAACGAGCTAAGTGGCGTGTACTTTCTTAAATAATTTTTTTTCGTTTTTTTAACAGTTGACAATGGGCAACCTTCGATCCGTTATGCAAGATTGGGCTTCCACCCATGAAAAGATCTGTAAAATCATATCCATTGTAGCTCTGGTAGTGAGCATAATTCTCATTATTGCTGGGGCTGTATTGGCTGCGCAGAACAATGGCAGATGGGACAACAGGTTTGAAGATTTTGATGACTATGTGGAAAGGCAAGGGTAAGTTCCCATTTGATCTTTATTTTGGCAGTTTTATATTTATGATGGAGAATATAAGCTCTTTTATGCAAGAATTATGATTTAACATTGCTCCATGTTCTCGTATTTTACTGTTCTTCGATTTGACGAATGCAATCGATGATTTGATAACATACTTGGTTTATACTGTACGCATTATGCGTTGTCCTTGTTTGTTGTCAATCTCAAAGTTTCCTTATTGCGATGTAAATCCTTCATTCAAGTGGGAATCCCCAAGGCTATTCTTGATTACCCAGTGGAATGTAAGATAATCGGCCTAGCTGAACTTATTGATTTTATGTAATATTATCTCCTTTATAAAATCTTAGTATGAAATTTTTAAAGCCTTCACATTATTTGTTGGGCTATGCCTGTTACTTCTTCGAATTCATAATAAGTGCATTATTATCTCTCACATGTGTACGACCTAGAGGTAGTTTAATCAATTTTTCCATTTTCATTTGCTCAAGGTTTTCAATATTGAATTATCATGTTAAATTGTTCCCAAATTATTGACGCCTTATCTGATTAACTAACGTATTGCTCTCTGGATAAATATCAAAGAAGATAATTTTTGTGTCTGGAAGTACTATGAGATATTAAAAGCTCTTTAATACTTTTTTTTGCATGAATCAATATGTTCTCTTCCCACTATCTAAAGAAAGCTTAAATATCAATCACTTTTCAGTTAAGAATCTAGTGCATAAATACAATTCTCCCGACTAAATTAACTTTACTTCCATACTTAAATTTATTTAATTCTCCATTCCATTTTTGAGCTAAAACTGAACTATGTAAGCCTTATGATATGATATGAACTACATGTCATTAGGTCTTATAATTTTAAATGCTTCAATAAACCTGGAATTCACTAATTGCTCTTATCTATTCAATTCCTAATGCCGAATGCGGCAAATACGCCAACCGTAGTGTGATTGGTCAAGCTTTTTTCATTCATCATAATTAAATTAAGGCAATCGAAACCCATATCTGCTGCGGAAAGTGACTTTTTGGAACAGTGACGCATTTAAAGAATCCTTGCTCCTAGTGCTCTCAGTAATAAGGAGAGGAAATGTATTAAAAAGCGTTGTTATCATAGCATATAAAACACAATATGTCTCGACGCCATAGGCTGTAAAAATTAAGTAAAATGAGTAATGCCGTAATCCTTTAAGTTGAATTAATTAAAACAGTTAAAACATCTTGACTTCGTTCTCATCCCCTCCCCCCCCCTTCATGATCACCTTCCAGCTCTTTCTCTGGAGGCTTTACCATTTGAAAAAATTTGAATTTGATTTTTTTCATTAGTGCAAAGGCTTTATTAGCCTCGGAAATAGTCAAACATCCAATGACATAAGTAGCCATATTTTATTAAGTACTCTATCATAACTTACTCAAGATTTTATCAAGAAATGACTTTTCAGTTTGGTGCAATTTAACAAGTGCGTAAAATTTGTTAAAAAGCTAATTTAAAATTTGTTGAAAATATCTCAGTAATTTCCTTTGTGTAAAAAATCCTCCATCATGAATGCATGGGAATTGAAATAAACATAAAATGAATGCTGCATTTTAAATAAATTTTCATTTATCATCTGTCATATAGTGTTTTAATTTTCATAATATAAGGTGGTTAGTATAATTTTGCAATCACCGCAAATTCTTTTATAAATTCGAAGTTCCTCCAATCGGTTATTTATGGCATTTTACATTTATTACTTACAGCAGAACCAAAGAAAGATTATTAATTATAGAGATATGCATGTGATTCTCTCACTTTTGTTTAAGCTTTCTTTCTTCTCAAAAGTCATTAATTAAACGAAATTGATCAGTGGTTTTTTATTTAAGTAGGAAAAGTAATGGATACCATGGGATATTTTATCCGAAAAAAGTGAAATAAACATAAATTTTTACTTGCTTATTGGTTTAATAAATATCTTTACAGTTGTACACAATTGCAAAAATTGCACAAAATAAATTAGGATCATTTCCAGTAATAATTAGCGGAAATAAAGGATAACTTTGTTAAATTCACTTGATGTTCATCAATCCCTCGAATGGTGACTAATTTGTAAGAAGCTACGGCCCTGACGGAAACGTAAACAATTCAAAACCCAAACTGTTGCAAAGCTAAATATGAAAAGCAAACATTTCGAAGGTGCCCAAGTTCTGGTTGGGGCTTCATAAATTCATTAAAAGTGAGCAAAAGACGATTTCACTGAATGGTATCATTCATGAACAATGGCTAGCACTAAATTGATAGCACATTTATTATATCTAAAAATAATCTTGTGTAACAAGCATCAAATATTAAAAAGATGATGGTTTTTTTCAAAAGTTTGGAGATTTTGATCTCATTTTCAATGATTTAAATACCCTGAGAATTTTCTTCCGCCATGAATTGCTCATTAATCGTCTTTAAATAATGATCCCTTGCCAACATATCCTTCCGCATTTCTCCTCAACATATTCAAGGAATCTCGCTTTTTTATTCTGATTCACAATCTAATTTGATGAAAGCATATATTGAAATTGTTTTATCATAATTATTTTAACTTCAATTTGAAAATTTGTCTTTAAAATGTCGAATTCGGAAACAGATAGTACTGTTTATTCAATAATACGTAATGATAGAATAGAAAGTCATTTTTATAGAGAGGTAAATAAATTGTATGCTTTCTTTTACAGTCGATTCTCAGGCGGAATAGCGATGATACTTCTTGGTATCTTCCTTTTCATCAGCTCCATCATAGCATTCTGCTTCTCATTCCAACTGAAGTATTTCCAGAGGATTGTGCAACCAAGCAGCAATCAAGCTAATCATCAAACGTATTCTCAGTCACACTCTCAACAACAACAACAGATGCCATCTATACCGTCCAATACGCAGGCACCTGTAAGTATTATTCCTTTAATGATTTCAATTGCATCTTGGAGGTTTTTAATGTCCAGTGTTTCTTACTTCAGTATCCCACAAATGGTAGTTACCAAGAGCCTCCTCCGATGTACTATCCTCCCACTGCTCCCAATGCAAGTTTCCCTCCACCACCATATAAGGAGTAAACTTAAACCAAAATATGACAGACAATTTTTATTTCTTTGTTCTCAATATCCAGAATACTACGATTTTCTCATTATCTATATTCATTTACTGTTATTACACTGCAAGTCGTTTATAAATAATAAAAAAATTCGGCAAATACTAAAGTGTTTCAAGTTATTAATGGGGTTAAATAATCCTTTAAATTCTATTGACAAAATTTTACTGTCTTTTGTTAAAAGAACCGTCACGTATAGAGTGCAATCCGAAATACCCACAATAAGATAGTTAATCTAGATCGTTGGCACCGTATAATTATATTCCAAAAACTGCATATAGATGCAACAACTCATTTGATAGAGCTATAACACTGATAAGAGCCTTTAATTCAGTGATTGCTGTGAAATGCGCTCGAAGCAGAAATAGTTCGACTAAAAGGCCTTAATGTTTCTTTCTAGGTCCTTAGAACGATATGAAATTAAAGCATTCGATTCATTTTTTACTCAACTCCAAGAAACTTTATTTGTTGTTATTATTTTCATCTACATCGATCTATTTGTTACTTTTCTTAAAATTGTCTACAGATTTATGCGTGTTATCCATTATCGATTTTTGCTGTTTTTGAGACTCATTGCATGACTCAGCGCAATATGTAACGATTTTCCTAGACAATCTTTACTGTCACAGTCATTACATCAATTTAGTGGCTAAAGGATAATGCCTACCCTTAAACAGTGTGTTTGATTCTACCTCATTTTTTAATGGCTGAGTTCGTGTATTTGGAAAGAGAAATCGACCAGTTTATCGATTTCCGCCATAGACCTTTCAGTGGGTTAGGGGTAATCCTGCCAAATTGGTAACCCTCCATGGCCAATTTGTATGAAGCTTGTTTTCAATCTTCTCGATGACAAAAAAATGAAATTATGGCATCAAGGGCAAACTATGTTGCAGTAGACTATAAACTGTGTTCCTTTTTATTAATCTTTAGTTTTGATTGATCTGCATCACAAAACAGGAGAAATTCTCGAAAATGTATCAGTAGAAATCAAGGTACTAATCGATTTCAAAATATATATATATATATTTATTTATTTCAAATGGGAGGCGTTTTGATAGTTATCATTAGCCCTTTAATTGACTTCGGGCTTCACAGAGGGGAGGTTCATCAAAGTAGCAGAAAGTCGAGGGGTGGGGAACAGAAGAGCGATTCACAGATGTAAAAGAGACAGACAGACACAAAGGCGGAGAAAAAGGTAAGATGAGTACTGTGGAAGCGGTCGAATATGACAAGGAGTCGTGCCATGGTATTTTGAAGTCAGAAGTCAACTGCCCGTTAATAGACTTTTTTGCCGTATGAGAATACGTTGCCCAGGGTGCACCACGAGGAGGAAAGTCTATCCCACACCCCTCGATTTCAAAATACGTTCAACCATCTAATGGGGGGTTTTATAAATATAGTTACTTTAACTTAAACTTAGATATTATGAAATTCGCGTCTTAATGCATAAAATCTCACTATCATAGTTTGTAAGTGGAGTCAG